GCCAACGAATTTTTTTTTTCTTGTTTTATTTCAAGATAAGGTCAAATGTCGTATAAGTGCAGTTGCTATTTGACATTAACATAAACTGAGGTCAGGCTGAATGTTATTAAAAAATACGATCTTTATCAACGATTAATTATTTGAGTCGTAAGCTGATCAAATGAAAAAAGGTTTTAATTTGTGGTAACAAAAAGGATTAAGGCATTATATACGTAATTAATTAACAAAGATCAATTATTTCAACTTCGAGTTGATTGAAGTTAATATTGACAAGTCTATATTTTTCTTAAAAAAAATAATTTAAAGAAGACAATATTTCTCTTTTCGAAGAAAAATTTAAATATAAGATGTGGATTATGTTTTTTTTTAATTTAATTGTTCAATATAATAATTAATTGAAATCAAAACTAGCATGATGATCTTAAATTTTCGAATGAAAATCTCCTTCTATTAAGGTAAATAATTGGAATGACAATTCGAGGATAGAGATTATCATAGAGAAGTGTACAACAATGACCTCTTGTTACTCAGGTTCAAGAAAACAGCGTCGTAAACGATATAAAACGGCGAAAACCAGTGCTATTGCGTTGCCGTTTTTCATACACTTGCATAATAGTGAAAGTTCAGGTCAAATATGTAAAGTCATAAACAGTCGTTTTAGATAGTTATCTCGCCGGATAGTAGGTGTAGTATTATGACAGTACTTAACTGTGTCGTAAACGGTCGCATACTCGATTTGTAGACAGTTTTATGACTATATTATCAATTGTGTAAGGCACAATAAAATACGGTTGTAATACTCCGCCTACCAAATGTCAATTTACAGCTATTTACGATCGCGAACCATACAAAAGAACAGTATACAGCATCGTTGTTTTTTGGCCATCTCGATAACTGTAATCATCATCTTGAATGTTTTATAATTTATAACCATATTGAAGCTATATCGCAAGCGACATGTTGATGGCTATAATAAGAAATATCATATTGTTTGATCTGGATTTCTTTTTTTTGCTTTAAATTGGCATGAACAGATATCAAGAATGTCATATGTAGTAGTAATATCATATTATCAATAATTCAGTCTTACGGATACAACTTATGTGTTTCATTTGAAAATGAATGAATTCAAATATCTTTCTCTCTTTTCTTCTACATATAAGACATTATATTAGATTAAATTTTGTATTTGTATCGTCTTAAAGAAGAATCTTTATATTGCATAGGAAAAATACTTCATATACATTTATATTTTGAAAGAAAAAAAGATTTTTTTGTTGTAAAATCGAAAAAGTATGCTTTTTTTAATTTATTTTTTCAAATAATCAAGAATTTTTTATTTGATTATCTTTTACTTGTCTATATTAATTTTCATATTAGAAGTTTAGTTCACTAACTTGTTAGTTCTATTTAACATTATAGAAAAATTAAGCAACAAGATTTCCAAGAAATTGTTCATATAAAAACTTATGATCAGTTTTTACAATGTTCTGTCTGATAAAAAGTTCCATAAGCGACGATAAACGGATAAAATATGGTATCTTTGCGGCAGCTCATCGATGTCCATTTACAAGTATCCATCGATGGAAGAGCTATGCATGAAGTATGAAACGTTTACAGCACCTGACGGATTATCTATTACGGTATCATACGTAGGAGACCATTTTGGTGCTATTTTCGTTCCGTAATCGCATTGTGTTAGGAAAGCCTATCAAATCTACAACGGAATACTGTGTGGTAATACATACGAGATAGGTATTGATGAGTTTCATCTAATACCAATAGTTGCACAGCGTTCGAATGGCCTTAAAAGCGACTTCATTTTAATCGCTCGATCGTTTACTTATATTTTATGTTGTATTCTTTGTTCTTTATTTAAGTAAAACCCATAGTTGCATTTTTAACTTGTTTGACACATCAATCAATAGCTTTCGTTGGGTTCTAAACAACATAATGATGTGTTACTTTGAAACTTGCATGTTTACTGAACTTTATCATGGTCGATATCAGTTCGTTTATTATTTGAACTAAGAAAAGAAAAATTGTTCATCTGCTGTTTCTTCGTTAAATGGTGTTTGCTACAGATAATAGAAACTGTCCTGCATTAATTCGACTCCTCATGGAAAAAATTTTTAAAGTTTTAGCTTTCACAAAACTATTCTAAACGCAGATTAGAACGTACGACGAATGGGTTGACTAACTCGACATGATGAAATGCAGTATAACATCATAAAACTAAAAAGAAATCGATTAATATGGTGGTATCATCGATGTAAATCTAGTCCATAAAGTCTTCATTTATGACATATTTATATATATTACGATGCGGAAAATGGTATAAATATGGTTCGTTTACGGTTTCCTCAAATAGTAAGTTGAACTAATAATAACACGCTGTTAATGGTACTCCTTTGATCGACTTGACATATGTAATTCTGGATTACTATTTTCAATAGGTTATATCTTGTGAATAGTAACGAATAGTTGGAGATAAAAAAATCAAAATGTAATATAAAATTGAATTGAATTACAATCAATACTATTAGGAATATAATGACGGCAACTAGTATCTATTAATACAATAATAAACCAACGACATTAATTTACATATTGTAACCAAAAAGAAAATTCAGGCCCAAGAAAAACAGCGTTGCAAACGATATAAGATGTTGAAAACCAGCACTATTACGTTGCCTTTTTTTCTGTTATTCTATAAAATGGTGAACATATAGTGAGAAATAACTATTATTTACTAGTGAAAAAATCGATCTGGAATATGAGATGAGGAAACACGACGTTATATAGTAAAGCTGGAGAAGTAAAATTTTTACGATTCCGAAAATTTTATTTGACTGGCATATGCAGTGGGTGCAAAAAATGATCATGCAGATGTAATTTCGATTTCTTTCCGTAATGGTAACTCGTATTAAGAATCCAAATAGTGACTTGAGTAGAGAAAATTGTTTCCAATAAGAATTTCAGGGACATCAAATTTTTACAGTATTCGGAAAATCCAGGACCTCTAGGAAACCTTCGAAACTAGTTTTTCATCATCCAGAACTCGAAAATAAATGTTTCTTTGAATTACATCTAGGGCGATAGTGCAACTAATTCTGAACAAAATAACACATCTCCGAACTCTTCACGACCTTCTTTGGACTGAATTATTATAAATTTAAAGAAAAGTTCAGAAGTCCTTTTTGTTCAGTTTTCTTTTAGGAAATGGCGAAAAAAACTATCTGTGGTCGTTTCTTAATACCGATGTACTTCATTTACAAAATCTCGCAGAAAGCTCGAAGGCTTCTCATTTTGTAGAGATTCAGTAATTTTTGGAGCCACTGTTAGTAACTCGAGGAGTTACATTTTTTTAACTCCGACTCTGAAAATTTTTTTTCCTGTAAATTAGTAACAGCTTACGTATACGGTCATATTATATAGTTTGAGATTACATGAAGACGATATAAACATATATAATGATGAAAGTAGAAATATTCAATGGTTCATTTTTATTCGCAATAATCATTTGTGAAAGTTAATCTAGTGCAGATATTTTTCTTTGTTTTTTTTATTTCATGTTATTTGGCAATTAAATTGGCAATCTTCGTTTATTGGACGTTACAATGGTATAGGTCATTTAATACATTGTTTTCAATGATTGGAATAGTCGTCTTACGAAGTCGAAACAAAATTTGTCGATTTTCCAAAGTTCTTTTGACAATAGGTTTATTGAGTTACGACAAAAACCAAATTCACTAAAAAGTCGTCTACTGATATGTGTTCATTCCTTATTTTAACGGATCTCTAATGCTTAAAATATTGCCTCTTTTATATTTTTGTTTTTTTATGTTTGCACATAAATATATATACAAGGAACAAACAATAAAATTAAAACAGGAATACGATAAAAATAAAATATAACAAGCATGCAAATGTTTTTTTTTTGTTTTCTTTTAAAGTATTTAAAAAAAAAACATTTTACTAAAATCTAAATCTGCGGTAAACACATGAACACAAAGTTAATGCAAGAAATATATTCAAACAGTCACCACAATAATTTTTTTTTTTTGCAATAGTGTTCAAAGTAAAATACAATTGATAATAATATAAAAATAAAGCCAAAGAACTTCACCGTTCTGATTTGTCACATTTTTATCTATTTATTATTTAAACGTTTTGTAGATTTCGCTGTTGATGATTTTCTAGACGAGATTCGAACTGGACATGCACCGGTAGCTGAAAAGAAATCAAAAGCATCGGATGTCGATGAATCACTAACAGTTGACGTTGGATCATTTAAATTAAGTTCGGATAATGCTTCTACAAGAAAATAATTAAAAAGATAAACATAAAAAAAAAAAGTAAAGTTACTTACGATCTAATGAACTTTTATATAAATAAGGTGATTGATAAAGTTCTTCTCCTTTATAATATATAGTAATATTTGCTACACCAGAATCATTTCGTGGAAATGGATAAGGAGGCATTGAAAAATATATAAGATTTCCATTTTTTGTAAATATCAATTGTTGATGCCAACCACTTCGATTTTCCGTAACAAATACAGTTATATCATCTTTAAGAATACGACCTTTAAGAAGACTATATACTCTTTCATTACCACACATAGGTCCATATGTTGGACCCATATGCTCAACACCAACATCACCATAAGCTGAAAAAAATCATATTAAAATTCTTTTCAAATAAATAAATACAAAAATAATTTTTTTTTTTACCTTCACTCATTATACAAGAATATTCAGTACTAGTTTCATCTCGTTGATATGTATTTTTTTCAGCTTGATATATTCGTGTAAAACGAAGCATTGATTGATCAAGTTGTCGTGCTTTAATTAATTCTTTTGTTATTATATCATCTTGTTTACTTTTAATATATTCAACCATAAAACTATAAATAAAATACAAATGTCAACTAAATATATTGAATTCAAAATAAAATTTACCTTTTACATCCAGTCTTAAAATCATCTTCCGTTACACAAAAATATAATGTATTCAGATCATTTTGTCTAAAGATCAATGCATTATCATCGAATGTAGTACTACAAGTTTTATTATCAATTGTATATGGATGTGGTTGTCCATCTTTTCTAACAAGAGAAACTTCAATTATATTTTTAGCAGACTGAAGTGCCCATATGTGAGGTATCTGAAAAAGAAGAAAAGGATATTTTGTATAAATACGATATAGGTATTAAGCAACATACATAAATCGTTGGATATTCATGTGGATTATTTATTTCACATCGAATATAATGTGATGCAGTTCTACTTTCATTTTGTGTGCGTGGACGAAATTTTGAACGTGGTTGAGATTTTAATTGAATTTTTTTCGAGTCCATTGAATCGAATTGAAGAACTAAATATAGAAACTAATTTTGTTATTTAAAACGTTTATAAAAATAAAATGCATACTCTGTTGTGGATCATCAAAATCATTTTGCATTTGAGCTGTAGTACACGGTTGACATGCACCATAACCTGGAACAAAAAAAAACAAAAGATAATCATTAGTATTATGAAGATTTCTTTATTAATATTAATATACTTGAAAGAATATAAATAGGACCAACATTTGATGAAGAGTTTTGATGCTCTAGAGACAAATAAAAGATGAGCATAGATAAATTTTTTATTTAAAAAAAAAATAATCAATTTACTGGAATTCTTTTTAACTTTTGATGCATTTTTATACAGACGTTCTTGTTGTTGAACATATTGTCTTGCAAGAATTGAATCTACAATTACAAAAAAAAATTAATAATATTTAATATGTATTGAATTCTTCTTACTATCGATTTCTTTGTGTTCAACTGGTGAACTACCGATTTGAACAGAAGTTGGTGATGCTAAAATATCTAATAAATAAAGAACTTCATAAAAAAAAAATCAATTCAATAAATTCATATCAACCTGTTTGTGATTGACTCAAATTCATTCTTTCCATAGTATCTTCAATTGTACTTTGTCTTGTTATTTCTTCGAATGATGATGATATTAATTTAGTTATATCATCATTTTCAGGTGGTGATGCAGGTATATTAGTGATAATTGAGTCGAAACTACTAAATTCTGAGAAAAAAAAAAATATCGATTTATTTTATTGAATTTTTTATCTTAATAAAACTCTGTTAAACTACAGTCTTTTTTAAATTAGAGAAGTTGGTTTATTTCCGAAGTATTTCTTTCAATGCATAATCTGAAATATTCCCTTTTTTATGTTTTTTATAAACAATGTTTTTTTCAGAACATATTCACGGTAATTATCCAAATGACGCCACTTTCGAAATTTTGAATATAAATATAGAAGTAAAACTTACGCTCCATTGGCGTATCAATAAGAGCATTCCGTATGTCATCAATATTATGTAAAGCTGAATGTAATGCGAGATCTTCTTCAGTAAAGACTAGGCCGCCAAGAATCTGTTGAAAAATAAAACGAAAAAAAAAAAATTAACAATCAAATTTTGATCTTTTCTTTTAAGTTTACTTGATCATCAAGCGAAGAATCTCGTATATCTGGCAATCCTGATGGTTGATGTTGACCAGTTAAATTCATCGAGTCTACCAAATTGTACAACTCAAAGTTATCTTCCATAGTGAATAATTAATACAATCAGTCAGTAAATGAATCTAAAAACAAACAAAGAAAAAAATCCCCTTTCTATTTTTACCGTATTAATCAACCATATAAAAATGTATTACGTATAAAAAAACTAAAATGTCGATTTTTGTCACGCTATTACACGTTTTTGTTTTAAAAAAGAGAGTTATTCTGCTGTGTGTCCTTCATCATTAACATCGAGAAAAAAACAAGTGACGATATATAATTTTTTTATGTACTTTACTGAGCCCTCTTGTTACTTTTCTATATTAAAAAAAAAAGACATTCTTTTTTTCTTCATTGTTACCCTCTATCGTCGCTGCATCTATCCCTCCGATGTCGCCCTAAAAAACAACAAGTAACTCACTATATTACACAGAACGAAAGAAAAAAAAAAAATTACACCATTCATGATATATATGCGTCATGAATTACCTTTTTTTTATTGGTGCATATAACAAGACTAAATATACATTCACGGAGAGAAAAAAACAAAAATAAAAAAAAATCTTCATGAGCATCTTATTACCCTATCAACGACTGCACATTCGTATAAATTTACATAAGAAAAAAAAAAAAAAGAAACAATTCTTCCGATCATTTTCAAAATAAAGATTGATTTAAAAAATAAAAAGCTGCGATTAATGCAAAATTCGAATGGATTTTATTTTTAATGCATTATAGAAATGGTTCTTTCGAACATGATAATCTGATTACGAAAAAAAAAGAAAAGTGTACATGATATTTCAATTAGGTCAATCATTCATTGCATAAAAATTCAAGAAACAGATAAGATCAGATATGTACGACTAAAACTTACTTTTGTTTCAATAAGTCTCTTATTTTTATTTTCTAGCTTTTCTAAATACTCTTAAAATATTTTATCTTAATTCAACATAAAAAATTAAATATAAAGACGAAAATTGTGTGTATTATTGGTTGCTACAATAAAACATTTTATCTATAATAGATAACCTTAGAATATGTGGGTGTGAGCACTTTTATAAGTCTTTTTAGTTTTTTAGTTTTTTTTGTGAGAAAAGATAAGAGCTATGGTCTTATCTCATTGACATAAAAGATCTCAAACTATAAAATAATTTATGGAGTTCCTTTTTTTTTTCTAAATTTTGTTTTATTATCAAGATAATTTGACATTTTCTCATACTGGCACCAAAACTATAAAAAAATGACCGAGTATATGATAATTTTATTATTTTATCTCAAATGAAAAAGTAAAATAAACAATAAATTAGAAATTAGCATAAAAACCTGCATCGAATCATGTGAACTTTTGTAAAAGTGTATTTTATAAATGATGCAGGCTCGAACTTTACCCTTGCTTTCCTTTCTCTCTGAAGGTAATTGTGACTTTAAAAAAAATTTGATAAAATACATGTCATTCAATGCAGTTTTTTATGCTGATTCGCAAATGCCTATTTATTTTGATTTTCAATCTAGACAAGACAGTAAAAGTGTCACATACAATCATTTACAATTTTATTATCAAAATGAGAAAATGTCTAGTTATCTCAACAATAAAACACAATTTAAAAAAAAAAAAGAACTCAATGAATTATTTTATAGTTTGAAAGCTTTTATTGCTAATGAGATAAGACATAGACTATTATATTATATCAAAAAGAAACTAAATAGATTTACAAAAGATGCCTGCAAACATATATTCTAAGGTTATCTATTATGAACAAAATATTTTACTTTAATAGCCAATGATATACACAAATTATATTTTTCTACTTGATTTTTGATGGTGAATTAAAATAAAATACTTTGAAAGAATTTCGAAAAACTATCAAATAGAAACTAGAGACTTGTTGAAAGAGAAGTGAGTTTTAGTCATATATATCCAATTTTATCAGTTCCTTGAGCTTTTACTCATGAACGAGTAACCTAATCAAAATATAATGTATAATTTTTATAATCAAATTATCATGTTCTATGAAACTGTGTTTATAAATAATTTAAAAATAAAATTCACTCGAACTTTGTATTTTCCGTATCTTACAATTCTAAACAGTGTTTTATTTATAAAAAAAAAAAGTAAAAATAGATTTGGCTTCTTATCACATTCAACATTAAGTTAACAAAAAAGTAAGACTAATCATTAGTCTGTACTTTGTTTCCAAGAACAAGTAATTATAAATAATAAAACAAAAACACCGTTTAATATCACAGGAAAAACAAATCCTAGTGTCGATGTATTGATTGATGCGGTGAAGAAAAAAGTGACTCGAGTGCAGCATTAAATGTTAAAATATAAAAAAGTCTATCAGATGTTGTCGGTGGAAGTAATGATTCAACAGTTCGATAATAATCTGTTGCAGACTAAAAGCAAAAAATTTATTAAATAAACTTGAATTGAATATGTATATATGTATATCTATATATATTTACATCAAATTTTATTTTATATAGTTGCCAAAGTGTTGGTCCAGTAAAATGTGATAAAGAATTTTGAAATCTTAAATATAAATGAAAGGATTAAAAACAATAAGAGAAAAATCATAAAAAATAAATTTTACATTTCAAGTTTTTCTCGATTTAACCATTCAATTACATCATCAGCACTCCATTCATGAACATCTATAGTGGAAGTCCATGAACTACTCATTGTTGTAATAGAATTATTATTATAATTCTGGGTTGAACCTGAAAGACAAGAAATCAAAATTAATAGAAAATAAAAAATAAAGAATTATTACTTGTTCGATCATATACATCGGCTCCTAGGGCAATTCTAACAGCTTCTATTTCACGTCTAAGTAAAATGAATGCTTCATCAAATGAAAGTTGACTGAAATCGATGTGAAGTTTTGATCCATTAATTATTCCAAGCCAACCAGCTGCTTTGTAACCGGATTGCATTAACATAGGAATAGATGCTTTATTACGTTCAACAGAATACTCAGCTTCTACAAAAAAAAACTATCTTTTAAGAAAGATATAATAATTAATGAACTTATACCTAATCGACAATATCGACTTTGATAATATTGTTCATTAATTGCCATTAAAACAACATATGAATTTTCAACAGCAGATGCCATCGATGTTAGAATATCACCAGATATATTATCTTGATCAATCCAAACAAGATAATTTAAATTCTAAATATAAATTATAACTTTTAATATAAAAAAAGTAATGATTTAATTATGCTTTTGTTTACTTTTAATTCTCTAGCAATTTTTGAACATAAAGCTTTTGTTGAATGATTATAACTAATCATAATATGTCCAATATCATTTTTATTTTTTTTTGGTTCAATATATTCTGTTGTATATGTTGTTGATGCTTCTTTCATTAATAAAATTTCTAATAGATAAAATTAATTAGAAAAAGAAAAGAAATAAAAATAATATTTTTGTTTTACCATCGTTTTCATCTAGTTCAATTGTATAAGGTACACAGAAACTTTCTCCACAAACAGTAGTTGATCTTGTTTCATAGTCAGTATCTACATTTGGCATAATACCAGAAAAACTTTCTTGTGATGATATAGTTTCTTGTACACATGGATGAATACTATAATCATGTTCTTGTGAAGTTTGAGGATGAAGAGATTCTATAAAACAAATGAAATTTACAAAAAAAAAAATAAATAACATTAGAATAAATTTTAATACGAACTATCAAGTGTTTTTTCAACTGGATATTTCTGTAAATGATTAGGATCATTACCTAGAAAATTATTTCATATTATTTATGAATATATAGAATGAACAATGATTACGTACTGTCATCAGTGGCTTCAGTGGGTCGTTTTTCGTGAGTATCTGATTCGGCTTCACTATCATCTAGATAAATATTTAAAAAAAAAGAAATTTATTCAAAGTCTAATATCTGAACTAATTAAAATGATTTCAATATTTCATATGTAAATTCATAGAGATTAATACGTACAATCATTTTCATTTAATAGATAATTGAGATTCAGACGTGCTTCCAAATTTCTTGTAAAGTCAGGCATAGGTTGATAATCTGTTTGTGTTATTGAACACTATTTTAGACAAAATGTCGTTTTTTTTTAATCGAATATAATGAGTAAAATAATTACTTGTACATCTGAATATTCATCTGGCTTATGTACATCACTAACAACTGGTGTTAACATAGGTGTCTTAAAAACTTTTAAAAGACGGAAGTATAATGATTTTTTTTCTTTTAAATATAAATAAAAGACAACATACGTGATTGATCTGGCTCTCGATCATCCATGATAAATAAACTGACTTAGATAAGAGTTAATAAGTTAATTTTAAACAAAATTTGATGTATGTGCTCTTTAAAATGATTTATATTTTACAAGAGAAATCTAAAAAATATGATCATTTTGTCTCAATTACTCACATTCATTAAGTTGTATAAAAAAAAAGGCTAGTCATACGTAAATAAAAAAAATGACTTGCCGACTTCATTAATATATACAGTAGGAAGAGGAGAAAAACTAATACAAATGGGTGAAATTTTTTAAAATAAATATGAAGAAATAGAAAACGAAAGAAAAGCATGTTTGATTTTTTTGTTTCTCTTGATAAGTAACTACTTACTAGCATTTTGATAAACAATAATAGTGCGTCATCGAAAAAGAGGGTCGCTAACATCGCCTCACATTTTATTTTATTTTTTTTGCATTTTAATTACACACCGCATCGGTTGATTTTCGTTCACTTTACTAATCACGAAAAATATACCAATTATTAATCATATTCTGATTCATTTTGTCATGTTTCGACGAGTCAAATTAATGGACTTCACACCTTTCATAAACAACAACGTGATTTCATAACTATTTACCTTGTCGGAAAGAATAAAAAACATTAAATTCGCGGAATTCTCTATGACATGTTTTGAAAATAAAATATCTTATCAATTGGAAACAACGAAAAGAAAAAAAAACTTAAAAGTAAAACTTGCCCTGGTTACAATTTTGTGTCGTATTGCGTTTTTATTACACATAAAACAAAAAATGACCTGAACCAATCTGTATAATAAAACAAAAAAAAAAACAACAATAATCGCACAGAATAAAGTCCCATAAAAAATACCTATTTCAAGTGATGATCCTTGTTAATTATAACAAAAACAAAAACAATTAGACAATAATTATTTTAGAAAATCCAATAGATTTAAATTAATTATACTTTGGTTAGAATAAAAACAAAAAAAAAAGAGATTCATAACCACCAAATAACAGAATTATTATTTGCGAAAAAGATAAAATCAAATAAAGTTTATAATTTGATATTAAATAAGAATTTTTGGTTCTGAAACACTTTCACTAATTGCTTTATGTGGTAATATAACACCACCATTAATAAATAATTCATCTTGTACAGATACATCAAGTCCAAGTACAGTTGTATTTTCCATACGAACCTAAATAAATAAAATACATCAAATTTAATTCAATCTATTCAAAAATTTACCCATTTTCCAATCGTACATCGCCAACCAATAATACAATTCGAAAGCCATGAATGACTTTTAATTAATGAATCTGCGAGTACTGTACAACTTTTCAAACAAACACCATTTTCAATAGTTACTCGAGGTCCAATGACAACATTTGGTCCTATTCGACATCGTTCACCAATTTTTGCTGTGGGATCCTATAAAAAATTTTTTTTTTGCTTTGTTTAATTAATCAAACATAAGCAAAATAGTTAAATATCCATACCAATAAAACATTGCCGACAGTTCCATTTTCACGTGATAATCGTTCTGGATTTGAATTTCGAACAAAATTCAAATATAAACTCATACCAGTTAAATAATCTTTTGGTTGACCAACATCCATCCAAAAACCTTTGAAAAAAGAAATCATTAACTTAAACATGAGAACTATCTTTCATTAAATCTGCAGCATGGATCTTATTGATAGTTTCTCTAATCTCTAACAAGAAAAAAAAAAACTTTGATTTTCAGACATGATTTAGATGAGATTCGATATGAAATATTTCTAAAGTTTTCTTTTCTATGATTAAAATAGTTCTGTCATTTTAATCCTAGAAAAAATTATATTGATTTACCTTTCAGTTCATATGCATATAATTGTTTATCTGTAGCCATAGCTGGAAAAATTTCTTTTTCAATTGATGTAGGTCGTAACTAAAAAAGAACTTTCTAATATTCATAACATATTAAATATATCAAATTATTTACTTCAATTCGATCAAGTATAGTTGAATTGAATATATATAAACCAGCATTAATTTTATTCGAAACATATTCACGTGGTTTTTCAACAAATCGTTCGATTTTACCAGTATCTTGTTCATAGACAACAACACCATATTTTGATGGTTCTTCAACTTTAGTTACCTAAATCATTAGAATTCATACAGAATGTTCCAAAAGTCCCAACGAAAAAAAAAAAGCTCCTCAGCAATTCAAGGGATTTAAATATTATTTTTTACAGTTTGATCACGTATTCATTAAAGTTTTATTCAATATATATTTCAGATAAAATGTCTGCGTGTGTAGAAATCAGAATTAAAATAATTTTACTAATGATCAAATTCGAGTCAGCTATCGTTGTAAAACTAAAACTGCAATTCGAATTCTACATAAACACGCCAATTGAAATCACATTTCAACGATTTTATGAAACGAGTACTATCGAAAACGATGACGCTCTAGGCGATCTTAGAGTTATTACTTTTAGAAGAAGTCGATGAAGTTAATGACGCTTGTAAAAATAAACCCGGATCAAGTATTCAGTCTATGTAACTCTTCTTCGTAGCAGTAAATTGTATCTTGTATGACTTTGATAAGAAATATTCCGTCATCAACAGATATATTGTTGTTTGTGGTAATGAGCAAGTTTGTGAAATAGACTGAATACTTGATCTTCGTTCATTTTCACAAGCATCCTTAACTTCATAGACTTTTTCATCAATCATTGCTGTTGATCTTTCAGAACGTGATCGATTTTACGAAATCGTTGAAATGTGATTTCAATACAGAATTCAGTTGGCGTCTTTTTTCCGAATTCGATTTGCAGCTTTAGTTTTCTAACGATAGCTGACTCGAATTTCACCATTAGTAAAACTATTTTAATTCTGATTTCTACACACGTAAACATTTTATCTGAAATATATTGAATAAAACTTAAGTGAATATGTGATCGAATTATAAAAGAATAATATTCAAATTCTTTGCATTGCTGAATCAATTAATCTTCAATTTTGAAACAAAAATTCCTTATACATACACAAATAGTTCCTTCACATTGATGATCTTTATGAAATTTAATCATATCTTCAAATGGAAAATCACAAATAACATCAGAATTAAGTACAAAAAATGGATCAATATCTCCTTGAAGTAGATTACGTGCTAATGCCAATGGACCAGCTAAATAAAAAAAAGAAAAGTTCATTGGAGAAAAATTCGAATGAAACAAAAAACAAAAGATTTTGTTTAAAATCTAAACCTGTTCCTAATGGTTCTGTTTCTTGAGAAAGTGTTATCTTTATATTTAATCGTTTAGCTTCTACTTCCATTTCTCGTTGAAGCATATCTGATAAATAACTAACAGCTAAAATCACATGTGTAACACCAACCTAAGCAAAAACAATAAGAAAATTTCAAATAATTAAATAAATAAATATATATATATACTTGTGCTAAAGCTTCAATTTGATGTAATACCATAGGTTTATTACAAAATTCAATCAAAGGTTTCGGTTTTGTAAGTGTTAATGGACGTAAACGTGTTCCATAACCACCAACAAGAATAAGAGCTTTCATTTTTCTTTTATTTATGAATATTCACTAATATAAAAAGAAAAAGAGAAAATATATGATGTTTTAACTAAAATTCAAAATATTTTAATTTCAATTTTTAATATATATTCAAAAAAAGGTAAATCAACAAAATACATGAATAAATATTTAAAAAAAAAGAAAGTAAACAAACAAATTAATTATAAACAATCGATGCTTTATATAGGAAAATAAGATACTTATTCTATTGTTCAAAGCAAATTTTCATTTAAGTAACAATTTATTAGTTATATATTCTTCAGCCATATTCATTACTTGTCATAAAATGTATTATCTGCAGATAAAAAAATATATATAGAGAGAGAGATTTTAAATATAAAACATATAAACAAATTCGATATTTACATGAATGTATGATAATTAATTTTTAATTGTACTTTAGATAAATATTTGATTATGATCAATTTCATTTTGGATTCTAGTTGATTTATTTCTGGCAGAAAATTAGAATATTGAATTTAATATATTACTATCAAAATCATAAGTTCACGTAGACAGAATAAATCAAGATAAGCTTGATTGTCCATTTGAAAAAAAAAGGTTCGATGTTCTTATTCAATTGGTATACGTTTCTTGATCATTAAATGTAGCAATACTTGAGACGGATTGAATCCGTCACCATTCTTCATAAATGTATTCAAGGGCGTCGGCTGCACACGTATGTATGTTTGCATACATCAAGTATCTTTTTCTCTTCTTTTTTTATGTCACGTTAGCTTTATCTTTGTTTGTGTTGCATGTTTTCATTTGTTCTTTGAGTGAAATAAGAGCGAGTAAGTCGTTCTGTCGCAATACATTCATTATAAGACGAATTTGATCAACTAAGAAGATTACCATAATTTATTTTAAAGAAAAAAAACAATAACAATTTTAATTAACTGTTAGTTATTAGTAAATCTTTTCCTAGTTACCGTAGAAATATTCTTTTTCTTTTTTGCAACGTTTCGGCAGTCGTTGCTAACTTTGACGGATATTATTGATAGGATATGAAGTGAAAAGTACTAGAACACATACATTTTATTTTTTCTTGTTTTTTGTTCTTCTCTTGTCTTTACTATGATTTTGACAATAATTAAGTTAGAAGAAAAATAACAAGAGTAGATCACTTCTACTATCTGTCACTAACTCGCTTACTTGCTATCAAAGTCACAACAACGACAGAAAAAAAAAGAAGTATCAACAACAACAACAATGTGTGTCGATGTTCTAGTACTTTTCATTGGATTTTTCATCAATGAAGTCCAAAGAAGAGAGTATCGACTACCTAAATGTCAGGAAAAAGAATATTCTACAATAACCGAGAAGAGATTTACTAATAACTAACAATTTATCAATTAATTATGATGTTCCTCAATAAAAATAAAAAAAAAACAATTTATTTATATTTTCCTTTCAAGCTCAGCACTATACAGAACCGATGTACATATCTACCTATATAGATTTCTTGTAATAAAAGATATTTTATTATATATCAACCATATTGATAAAACAAAGAGCAACATCAGATTGAAGTGTATTAGAGTTATTGTTTCTAGCGAATAGAAAAAGATAATCTTTTAAGAATCACAGCATTTATTCAGACATCAAAATATATATGTTCAACTATTTGTGTACCTTCATGGTCTAATATAACTGTTTTGTTTTTTTTTTCATAATCTGAAAAATGGAATTCAATTATAATTTTTCGACAAATAAGAGAGATTTTTCTAGTCGAAATGAAATCTCGATAAAACTGAAATAATATCGGTAAGAATATTACTATGACATTCACTAATAAAACACTTATCAATGAAATAAAAAGATGACTAAATTGATATATAAGAATTAGAGAACATAATTAAATCATTCTGATTTGATGACATTTGAATCATTGTTGAAAATTTGAAATATGCTATTATTAACATTATTCGTAGCTAGCATGAAACTAATTATTATTACTAAGAAACATTAGCATACAGAAAACAACTTTCAAACATTCTGCTCACATCCATATACATGACAAGTATGTCATTGACAACGATCAAATCATAGTAAAGCACGTTTTGCCATGTGTCAACGATCGATCAACAATGACATCTGTTGAAATGTCAAGATATATGGACCAATACCGAATGTAATTTTTTGTGTCGTTTAGAAGTCATAGCATTACCTAAGCAGTTTTCTATTAAAGATCGATGATCATAATCAAAAATTTAATTTCAAGATCCGTTTGAGTTCCTACAAACCCGATTTTCAGAGATAATTCAACGAGTCCGAAATTGACAATTCTATCGAATTTGACATTAACGAAAGGATTCTAAAGGATTATATTTTTCAATCTCAAAGAAGGTCATCTTAATTCTCACTATCAATCGGTTCAATACAATCAATCCTGTTCTTCTACTTCGTTTGCTATTAGATTTACTTGAATTTATTAAAGCATATGACACAGATAACAGTAAGGAGGAGGATCAGATTCGGGTGTGATTCAGACTCGACCAAGTCTGGAATTGATTTAGTGAGTACTTCTCAAAAAGAAAGAACTCATTATAACTTGTTTCTTATGAGATCAATGTCAAGATTGCATCTTGTATTAAAAGTGAAGTTCGAGTTCTGACCTAAATTTTTTCCATCTGATAGGCTCTAATAGGGGCATCGAACATAGGGCAATAATTAAAGTTCTATGAATTTTCTTGTTTTGTTTTACATGTTTCAATTCATTCAATCGATGATTACGCTGGGTTATAGGTTTATGTTGAATTCTCTAAACTTACTTTGATTTTTCTATTTTCTTAGACGTGTAGATATTGCTGAATTTGTTATTCTTTCAAAATTCTTTTTTTAGAGAAATCAATCTTTTCCTCTTGTTCGTTAAATACTAAGGAATTAATTTATGTATATTCATATGCCTTACATTAAACCGAATATTAATTAATCTAGTTGTATAGTACTTCCTTAATAAATACGTACTTTACTTTTTTCTTGAAATTTGGTATGTTTACATCATTAGTTTCGACAATCATTCTGCATAAGAGATGATTTTATAGTACATACAAGTATTCCTCTTCCTTCTATTTTCGTAATTTGTAAGTACATAACAGGGCTCCGCATAGGATGAGATGGGAGGAAAAAAATTGTCCCATTTTATACAAGATTTCTTGGCTGAAAAACCAGAAACCTGCCAACAAACCAGAGATAATTTATTCTTTATGTTTTTAATAACTTTATAACTTGATGGATCTTTTTCTAATAAGCAAAAAATTCGTTCAGTTGTAAATTCACCAACAGCTGATGAAGAACCAACAACGAAAGATGATAAAAGAAAACGAAGCAATGGCCAAGCTTATTGAATCAAATTGATCAGATTGACATTCAACAACAGACGACGAATTATTCGAATACATACTATCGATTGTAAGTAAAAGTTGAATCAAATCATTTGTTACTATTACAATAAATCAAGCTGCATTATTACTGTATATGTTGATTTATTGTTATTTGTTTTATTGAATCCTAATGGTGACAGTACTTAAACGCTTACATAATAGGGAAACAAATTATTTCTCACTTATTTCACTCGAGTAGTCAAGAAGGACATCTATGTCGAAACTATTATGCTGTTCTTAATAAAATTCTATAAAAGGCATTTGTCCCATGGGATGGAATGATTCTGAAACTTTTTTGTCCCATCCCATCTTACGCGAAGTCTTGGTACATAAGTAAAATAATATATCATCAGTGACGTAAACAAACTGAAATCAAGGATAACAAAATGAATATTTTCCTTTTTAATATCAAGAATACAAATATCTTGTTGAGAATTTATATCGATGTTTAAATAAATGATTAGTTACGTTGCAATGTTCATTCATTCCAACAAATATAAATTTTTCGTTAAACCATTCGTTATTTGGTAACTATAGTTATAGCATTTATTCATAAGATGCTGATGTTCATCGCAATCCTTTTACACATAATTCATTTTGTTTTTGTATTTAAATTGAAAAAATATTTCTTGTAAATTAATGAAATAAATTTTTAAAACATCTGTTCTTCTTTTTTTGTACAATATCTTTATATCATATTTATAATTAGAGAGCTATGAGTACACGCTTTAGTGGACCAGAACCTCAGAAAAGCCATAAATTCGGGATCCGAACCCGAAATTCTTTATTTATAATACTTCGATTATTGCAAATAGAATCACGTTTATTTCAAATATTTATCAATAGTTGATATTTATTCATCTAGAAAAAAAATCAGATATATCACCATTTAGTTTAAAGATACATAAAAAACTGTGACATTATGGACAAACCAAAACGCTATTTAAGAAAAATTTAGCGTATTGTACAAAAAGAAACGAGACGATTTGCTTTTCGTTTATTGTTGACATAGATAAAGACACACAAATACAAAAAAAAAGAAGAAAACAGGTAAATTGAAACAAACTATCGCCGTTGAATATTCTGATTGCGTATATAAGGAACATGTGATCGTGTACATTTATTCGCATAATGACTAAAATAAATAAATTATAAATAATTTAGAATATTTAAAGAAAAAGATTTTTTTATCATCATGTACTATTTAGTTGTCAATATATATATATATATATGATTTTTTTGCAATATTTTCTAACTATCTGACGTTACAAAATGGTTTAAACAAAATTTGAAAAGCTTATATCAAGTGAAATACGTCAAAAGCATCACACTTCGGTACTCGCAATATTTATCCGATGTTTTGTGTTGTTTTTACTCATCATATGATTAGGAAAAAAAGTTACGTATGATTAATTTGACCTATGGTTCTCCTAAGAATCGGAATCTGGCGAAAATTAGTTTTAAGTATTAAATATACTATTTGATGTAAATTTGTCTGCTAATTTTGGATATGAAACTGTATTTATGGCGTTTTGTTATCATATCGAAAAGATCGATTTTGTTAACAATGAAACAATGTCTCAAAGTTGTGCATTATTTTATTTTCTAACCATATGATGAGTGAAAGCACTAATTTTCTTAAAGGTGCCGCTTTTCGAGGTTTCCGGAGAACGCCTCATCAGAAAACTTTGAAATTTTCAGCGCGGGTAGATCTTGATGAGTAGAGCAAAAGTTATCATAGACTCAAAACTCCTAAATACTGTCTTCTATGAGACAATAGACTCACAACAGCCCCTAGTTTTCACCTCTGTTTCAGGTAGGTATTGTTGTTAGTTTCTTTTTATCTTTTGTCCTTCGAATAAAAAAGTCAAAATATTGAAGGTATCCTTAAAAAATGCATGTTTTTTTGAACAGACCTTCCTTTGTAAGAACTATGAAAGATCACCAGAACAATATTTTTTAAAATAAAAAAGAAATACCCATTCGAAACAGTATCTAGTATATGTGAAAAAGATTTCAGCACGATCGGACGTACCACGACGGAGAAACGGAGATGTTTCTGTGCTTTTTCTTATGAAAAAATTGTTTTGAGAAAAACACGAAACAATGTACAGTTTTCGATATTTTTATTATGTAAATTTGATTTCTTCTCCGTTTTTTTAACGTTTAAAGACAATGTTTAGGTCCCAAGATGTACTCAGTAGATAGATACTATACAATGCCTACAAAAACATTGTTCACATATATCAAAAACAACATTTTTAGAAGTAGTTCGATGAGCGCTATCCAATCAAAGCAAAAAAATTTTACTTGAATTTCAAATTGTCAGCACTTTATGAGTAAACTTTATTTAATGTTAAGTTCGCTTTTTTCGATTTGTAAAACTCATTTTACAGTCTTTCTTTCTAGATAATATCATGTTCAAAAACCTTCACGTTATCTAGAGATTGGTATATATTTTTCTAAACCCTCGTTTTCACATATATGTTAAACTTGAAAGTTGAATTTCAAGTTTCAAATTAATATAACTACTCTCTCAATGTGAACACCGCGAAAAATACATGTCTCTGAATATTTAACTTACCCTCGTTCTCCACATTTAAAACAAGTCACATCATGTTGAAATGGTTGTGAAATTCCCATTCCAGTTGAATGTTGTTCATCCATTGGATGTAAATTTCCAGACTGTTGTGATAATCCATTATCTTGATTAGAATGTGAATTTTGATTTTGACCATAGTTTGATCGACTATTATATTGTTGTGATTGAGTATTAATATTTGATGGCATATTAAGATATTTTTGTCTTTCTTCCATTGGTAATTTAAAACATGATGAAGCTTTATGACCTGTTTCATGACAAAAATCACAAACAAAAACAATTTTACGTTGTGCAGGTGTATATTCATTTGAATTAGGTAAATCAAATGTTGGATGTGATAATGTACAACGTGGTCCTTCAGGACAAAATCCACATAAATAATTTTGACAAAGAACTTTTCGTGTATGACGATTTTTACAATTTGGTCCATGACGACAAAAGCCACGATCATACCATGGACAATCTTAAATGAAAAAAACAAAAACAATCAAACGACAAAAAATATATCTTTAAAAGTCAATTTTTTTCAAAATTATTAAATATATACCACGTATTTTTGATTCAGGATCAAGATGAAGAAATGCACATTCTTTATTCATACATTGTCCAAATTTTGAAAAAAAATAACATTCAGGCATTTTAGCCATATCATATTCATGAAGAAATTCACAATCATCACCTAAAAGAAAAATTCTTTGAATAAGAAAAACAAAAAAACCAATTTTCAATTAATTTTATTTTTTTATACCTTTTTTACATAAACCACGTAACCAATGTTTACATACAACTGTTTTATCTCCATGTATATGACGAAATGGACAACGTTGATTTGAACAATTTGAACGAAGAAAAAATTCACATACACCTACATTAGCTTTATCCATATTAGGAAATGGAAGTGGTAATGCACCTTGTTGTGAACATACTATTTCGTCAAGATCAAAATGTATGTTTTGTACAGGTGCTATAATATCTTGCATCAACATATTTTCTTCTTTTTTTCTTTTTAAATCAAAATAAAAAAGAATTGAATGAATTATATTTGTGTTTGTATGTCATAACTTTTTCATCTATGGTTGAATGTTTCAACCATTCAGATAGAAGTCGATATATAGATGGTGCTATATGTTATACTATACTCGCTGCAATGTCAGACATTCGAAAAAAATCTCGACGATGCCGTTCGTCTGATGGTAAGGTAGCGAAAATGCAAAATATCAGTAAAAAAAATTTTTTTTTGTTTATTTATATATGGTTTGATAGAGCAAGAAAAGCTGATCACGAATATATATTTTTTACTTCGATTCGATCAATATTGGATAGACAAAAGTGCTTTAAGAAGTTGAATGATTGAAAATCATCTTTTTTTCGTTGAATTTATTTTTTCTAGAGAAATGGCCAAATATTTATTTCAGTTTTTTTGGAAATCTTTACAAAACACTATATTCTGAATCAGCATGAAAAACTGAGCAGAATAATGTTATTTGATTAGATGTAGAGTTATTAAGACTAAAATACTTTCTTATGATATAAAAAGGTCCATCACTCTAAAAGTATGTATCAGTGACCATTATTGTAAACCTATCTAGTTTTTTGCTACAAGAGATAGAGGCAACTTTCTTATCTCGTTAGAATCATGACACCATGACCCATAACGGTTACCATTTAGTTTGTTTTAAATTTATTTTATTGTCCAAAAAAAATCATATTTTTTTGAAAATTATTTGAAAAACAAGTATATCAGCTGTTTTATGAATTTTTTTTTCGATATATATATATTCACTTTTTATCTTTATATAGGTAAAAACTCAAGCAGAATTAGATAGAAGTAACCTAAAGAGTATCAGAATCTATTCAAAAACATTCTAAAATTTATTTTTCTTTAAAAAGAAAAATTTAACGAGCATTTTTTGCGTTTATTTCTTTGTATATGAAGTGCACATTCGATGAGATATTTTCTGTAGCTTCACCAGCAGAAAGTGAGTGGTAAGAAAGAAGTCCCTTCAGAACGGATCCAGGATTTTACAGAGTGGGTGGCGGTTTCTAAATAATACTAGCTGAGGTAGAATGAATTTTGATGGAAATGGATAAAGTAGTGTTCTCATTTTCTCACAATTCTTTATTTCCGTTTTATATAGTAAATCTATAAATTCATGAGAAAGAATAACCTTTTTTTCTGAGACAAATTTTAGCAGAAAGTTCTAAAAAAACCATTCCACGATTAGATTTTCGAAATTGATCAATTCCAGCATTAATATTTGCATATAAATCTCGATAAATATACATCATAGCTAATCCATGAAGTCTTGTTTTCAACATGGTCGAACGTAAATAAGTCTTCAATAATTTGAAGAGAAAGAATGTTTGTTTTGTAGTTACTATTGTCATTGGTAGAGTTGTACAGATTTTCGAATAAAACTTTCATGTTTGGGTAAAACGCTTGAGGACAAGCAGCATAGGCATCAATTATTCTATCTGGTAAAAATATTTATTCTTTACGTTTCAATGTAGTGGAACTACTTTCTAATACAATTTCTGTCCATTTGTTTTTCCATAATGTAAATTGAGATTTGATTTGAGAAGATGAATCAGGTAGAACTTTTTGATAAATTTCAATTTGTGGAGGTAAATCATCATAATTTGTTATGAGGAACATACTGTGGAAACTATTATATGTATTTGTCACATTGTAATTGTGCTATTCCTTTATCGTTTTCTCTTGAATTGTAAATTTGTGCATACATAGTTTATTGTGCCTTCCTATACCCTAGTGAGTGTACTGAGTTAAGGATACCAGAAAAAGTACCCTGCTACCAGTATATCACAGGATCTGTTAGGTACTAAAGTACATTATCGGATATCCTGCTGGAAAAGGTCTAATAAATGGATAATTGAAGGTACTGATCAAATACTCAACTGGGTACTATTGCACAGTATTTTTAGGTACCCTGTTGTCAAAATTGTAATATGTTGATGATCGAACCTAATCGTTGACTTTTTTCATTTTTGTTCCTCTCAAAGCAATTTATGACATTTTTTCGATTTAATTTAATTTATTTCTTCCAATTCTGAAAACTCAAGCAGGTCAAATTTCGGAATCTGACCGGACCTGAATTGGTCGGATCTCCATCAGACCACTTCAGGGTAGTCCTCCCTCAATTTACGATCGAGATCGGCATGTTCTCAACTAGTAAATAGTCAAGACATAATCTAGAAAAATTTAGTATGAAAAAATATTAATTTCTTATGTTTTGTCGAGTTGTTTATATGAAACCGTGTGTGCAAAAGAAAATGGTAAATGAACAGTTGCTACACAGAACGTGATAAATCTAGGATATTCTGTAGAGCTTCCCTCAGTAAAATTACAGGTGCGGATACCTATACAAGTACTTGTTCAGTAAAAATGCTGCTATGGGTACCCAATACAGTACCTACATCAGTATAATTACTGAGATTTTTCGAAATACCCATATCGAATACTTTGCTGACACTTTCTCAGTACATGGGTACCCTTAGCTCAGTACATTTACTAGGGTTCGTTTCTTTGTCTAGATAAACAAGAATATAATTATAAAAGGAATATTTCTTCATTATTAAATAAAACATCTATTTTTTATTCTTGTCTATTATTTGATGTTAAAGAACTAAATGAATTAAAAAATGAAATAAAAAATGTCTTATTTAACCTTTCATACTAGAATCAACCTTTGTTGCATCCCCGGATGGAATCCCAGAAGGACCATTCCGACCATCAGAAACAGCGTCTTATCCGACCTGAAATGGCTATAAAACGGCCAATTACTACATTAATCCTTTCACAGCGATTCAGTTTTCTGAGGAAAATAGCTTCAATATATTAATTTTCATGCATGTCTACGCCCGATAAATGCGCTCATTGATTTTTTCAGTAAGTACAGCTATTTGTTTTTCTTTCTGTTGTTTGTATCATCGCATGGTAAGTCTTTTATCACATCGAACTGAATAGGTACTCGAGTCTATCTTTTTCTGTATTACACGTATTGTACAGTAACACCGAAATAAAGAAGCGAAATTTTAATTTTTTCTTTTATATTCTTTTCGTAGTATTATCTTTCACTCTTTCTTTTCATTTGTATGAAGGGTGAGGATATGAGTCAATAAAGGAAAACAAGATATAGATTTATCTGGTCAGTTATCAACATACTATACATGCCTCAGACGGTCCAAAAAGTGGTATCAAAAGGTAACATTTGAGATGATATTTTGAGTGTCAATAGTGAATGCTTATTTGATTTACAAAGAAAATTATGACACAAGCCGTATGACCATGCTATAGTTTTGTGAAAGTCTTGTGCGATCTTTAGGTCTTAATGTGCCATACGAGAATCTAAAACCTGATCCGAGAGAACGTTCAACAAGCCAAACGAAGCGCAAGCTCGACGAAATGGAAGGATCTGCATGCGATATCTCAAGACGACGTGTTGGTTGCTATGGGAAAATTAGGCAACAACAATCAAGAGAAGCAAGTGCGATGGCAGCAAAGAGAATAAAAATTTGCTCTCCTGACTGCGACAAGTTCTTTTGTCTTGATTGTTTTAATGAAAAGCATTCCTCTAAATAATAGAATAGATCAACCAGTGACAAAGATGAAGTAACTATAGGACTAATTGTCCCTTCCTGTTTAGGGAAAAAAGAAGACAATCTACTTTTTCATCATTTTCCTGATTAAATCCACTACGATAGCTGCTTCTGTTGATTGGTTCGACGTGTGTGTTGATCATACATACTGAACTGATAGCACAGAGAAATCGTTCAAATTATTCCGCATCGGACAGGTCAGTTCAATCACAAAACAAAAAGAATAAGAAATAGATTTTGTCAGAACTCTATACTTCATTATTTTTATTAGATTTTCTTATCAATTTAAAATATAAACAAAAATGTACATAGTAATGTAAATTTTTGTGATACATGCATCAAGAAAAAGTTTTTTTTTTGAAAGAAAAGAACGTTAATATTTGACAATATTAAGTTATGTCTACACAGATTATCCATCGAGTTTGCCAATCGTCTTCTTGATAATCCCAATACAGTAATAATTATTGTCACATTTTGTAATGCAAACACATGACTCAACATCATCGTAGAGACTCACCACTATCGATATCAAATCAATGTTAACTTTATCATTGAACATAGAATCTAATATTTTATTTTGTACTACTGCTCTCGCCTGTGATTACAAAAGAATCTCACGAAATGATAAATCGTTTTTCAGATGAGTTTTAACTCATTCTGTAGGCTTTATTGATACTAGACTATACCTAAAAGAATTTGCATCTATGGATCTTCATTCTTAAGTTATGACTATATTAGTGAAATTCTCAACAAAATTAACTTTCAAATTTCAACTTTGCAAAAATAAAGATTTTAATTGGAAGTAGTTGATTGTGAAAGTGTCAAATTTTCTAATGTCGATTATTCTCAGGTATATGTTGATGAATGAAATTTGTTTTTCTTTTATATAATAGAATTTGCAATATTGGTATATGACATAAAATTTTATATTTTTACAATAATAATTTATCACTTTGTGAGGTTTCCTCGTTAGTAAAATACGAAATGATCAAAAAAGAAATATGAGGAGAATCAAATGTGAAACTTTTGAATTATGCATTTGTTGATTAATGTAATTAAATTTCTCAAATCGAATCCTATTCTCCAAAGTCATTCTCTTTTTAGAATCTCTTTCTGTATCCATTCATCTTTATTATTCGATATAAAGATGTATCAAATTAAATCTTTAGTAAAATTGAATAGACTATCAACGAAAAAACAAAATATTTAACTAATGTGTCACAAAACAATAAGGCAAAAATGTGATAATAAAATCGTACGTAAAATATTTATAATTGTACTACATTTTTCTTCAAAATGTTTGTATAAAATAGATAAGAATAAAGAAAATACACTTGCTCATCGCGCAGTATTTGAAAATATTGAAGTTAGATATTTTATTGATAAGGATTTGAAATTTTAATGAATGTGATCCTTTGCTTATCAAAATTAAACTTTTAACAAATTCTAATACAGGATAGTTCATAGATAACTAGATAATTAAAACTATTCAATATTTCCAGTCAGCTTCAAACCATCTGGCTGATTTTTTTTTTCTCAGTGATCAAGAACTTGTCAAAGTTTTTATTCATAAGGAAGCTGTCAAATAGATACTATGTAGAATTAATACTATTTATCTCAATAAAGAAATACATTATTAGCCAAAAGTATCTGAGCCATTCTTAGAACTAAACATATGAAATTCCTTCTCAATGTGAGTCATATAACTCGGTGAACCTATCATCTAGTAGTTTCTTAATGCGGTTATTTTATATAATGATAGGTTCATAAGTTTGTAAGCTTCTTTCCTTTGTGAGTTAAATACCTCATAGTGGGAAGAGCTATCATACGTCATAACCTTTCTTTAACTCAACCGATCAAGATCAGGCTGATCTCATGTGCCCACTTTTCTAAGATAGTGCACATATGATAAAAATTTCTCAATCGATGAAAAAATTTGATTGGTTGTACAATGATATAATCGTTTATCGTATGTCCAATTGAATTATTTTATCAAATTGCATAAATGTGTAAGATTCGCGTTAAATATATATATATAAATAAATAGACAGAGAACATACTGCATCTTTGTATTCCTATTAAGCATACATCATAAACAACATGGCGACTATTTATACATGATTATGTTTCATATCTTCACTTAAATAAAAAGAAAAGAAAAAGTCGAACTTTTTATATTCTAGAAAAGAATCTTTTCTATCTTTATTATTTATTTAATAAATCATCATGACTGATCAATTTGGAGTTGCTTATGGTGCTGCATTGCGTATGTTATTTTTATTTTCAAATATTATTCATTGTTTGAAAATTTAAATTTTAGTTCTTGGTGGTTTACTTGGCTATATCACTCGTCGTAGTAGTATTTCACTCCTAGCTGGTATGTTAATAAAAAAATAATTTAGTGAACCGATTTTTAAAATTTGTTTTTTTTATTCATTTAGGTGTTCTCTTTGGTGCTTGGACTATTTACAATGCAACACATCTTACACGTCAAAATTATGTTGCTAATTTTGCTGTAAATAAAACTAAAAAAATTTTCTATTAATAATTTATTATTATTACTATTGTTTAGATTGCTGCATGTCTCGGTCTTATTATGTTACTTCGCTTTTTAATTAGTCGTAAATGGTTTCCAGCTCTTGTTATTGTTGCTTTATCAACTGGACTAGCCTATCGAAATTATCCATATCTTAAATAATAAAATGATTTACTTAAAAAAAAAAAACTTTGATAAACAAAGATGCGTAATTTTTCCATCATTTAATCAGGCTGATGCTGTGTTTTCTTTTTTGTTCTGTATTGTTTATCATTCCATCATGCGTCGTTTTTCCTTCTTGATTATTTTTCTTTTCTTTTCTGTGAATGAACTATTTTTTATTATCTATTCATAATAGGCTTTCATAGGTTAGGAACGCAAAAAAGAAATTGAACGATTCTGTTATCATTTAATGCAATAGGAGAAAAAAGTGAATTAAATATTCTTTGTTGTTCTTTCTTTCAGAATGTGCATATTTATACGAAATATTCTTTATTGGTATTATAATAATAGCAATTAAAGAACAACAATGTCATTTCCACCGCATATGCCCATCATACCTCCTATGCCATTCTTCCCACCAGGTGCTCCAATGATGATTCCACCTAATGTGAGTATTTTAGTTATTTTTTATATAATAAAAAAAAAGTTGATTGTTATTTATTTAGATGGCTACACCACCACCGGGAATACCAACAGGAACCAATGGTACTCATAAACCAGCAGAAAATGAAAAGGTTTGTTCAGTTTATATTTTTTTGATTGTTTTGAATATATATATTTGGTATTTTATTGTAGAAAAATCGTCCTCCAACACTTACAACAGTGTTTGTTGGTAGTATTTCTGAACGAGCACCCGATGCTATGATCAAACGAATGCTTCATGTAAGTAAAATACTATTTAACAAGTATCTAGGACATTTAATGTAGATAGTTAAAGAAGTGCAAAAAACAAATTTATCTATTCTTAATAAGCAATCGTTTGATTAACTATTTTCGACATTCTTTGCCATATCGTTTTTACCAAATAGAACTGACAAGTAGAAATTTTTGTGGATAGAAGTACTGCAAAGAATCTTGATCAGAAATGATACAAGAGCAATCGAAGAAACGAATCATTTGCCACATTCACCTTTAGGATGACATGAATAAATGTCTGCTATCTATCATGCTAATATACAGTACATATTATTTGATATTTTGAGTACAAGGTCGATCGAAATCGTACTTGAATAATTAGTTCTATTTCCGATCAAATATCTTGATAATTTGTGTAGTAATGATTAATCTATAGACTATAATGATTTATAAACATGAATTAACATATTCCATTATTTTTATTGACTTAGAATTGTGGTACTGTTGTCAATTGGAAACGAGTACAAGGTGCCAATGGTAAACTTCAAGGTAAACAATGATTTGATTCATTTTATTTTTCATTTAATTTATTTGTTATTTTTTAAATTTTTCTAGCATTTGGTTTTTGTGAATATGAAAATCCTGAAGGTACACTTCGTTGTATACGTTTACTTAATGGTTGGCAAATTCAAGATAAAAAATTAGTCGTAAGTGATTTTTTATTTCCAATTATTTTTTTTTTGCTTTTGGATTATCAAATATTAGACATCTATTTACAAATACATAAACATGTAAGTGTTTTGCATTGTGTGTTAGAATTCCCGGATATTTTCCGTTGATGGTTAGGTGTCTCCTAACTTGATTGATATGGTTTCAAACACGAGACAGACATTGATCTGGTAACAAATTTGTAAACATCATTTAATAAAGTCATTTTTGTTCTATGAAAAATCTTTTTGTTCTTAGTGTTTATTATTGAACACAAATTACAATTCTTTTATATAAAAACAAGAGTGAGTGGTTCCTTGTATGGAGAATTTCTTATTATATTGTTTTATTTATATTTTTTTGAGATAAATACGTATAGATAAATATATTTCTTATTTATTTTTTAAATAATAAATTTAAAATTTAAAAATAAATATATGAAATATATTTTATTTTCTATTTAGGTTAAAGTCGATGCTAAAACAAAAGCACTACTTGATGAATATAAAAAAAAGAAACGACATGAATTAGCAAAAAAAGCAGCTAAAGATACAACAGCTTTTAAATTTATTTATGAAGATGATGATGAAACAAAAACATCGAACAGTAAAGATGTAAGTAGCAAAAAATAAAATAAAATAATTTTAATTTCATTTGTTTTTGTTTTTGTTTTTAGAAGAAATCCGGTGAAGAAGGTGAAATTGAAGAAGAAGATGATGATTATATTGATAATGAAACTCGTCGTGAAGATTTAGCAATAAAACAATCACTTGAAACAATTATGCGTGAATTTGCTCGAGAAATGAATCAACGTGCATTAGATGCAAAAGAATTATCAGTTCGTGAAGTACAAACAGGAATAAATCCAATATTAAATATGCCACCTTTACCTCAACCACCAATTCCTTCAAATACAACTGTTAATCCTGTACAAGATATATCATCATCATCATCAACAACAAATTCAACTAGTCCAATAACACGACCTATTGATCCAACTGCTGCTTCACTTAATGATGAAGAAGGAAAACGAAGTTTAATAGCAAATGAAATTCAAATATTTCGTGATCGTTTTAAAGATGAAGAAACAAAAATGCGTAATACAGAAAAAGAACGCAAAGATCGTTATGAACGTGAACGTGCATTACAACGTGAAAAAATTGCAGCTGAAGAAGCATCTGCTAATAGAAATAATAAATCTTCATTATCACCATCTTCACGTAATACATCACCACCACCACCACCACCACCATCATCATCATCTCGTGATCGTTCATCACCAAAACATGATCGTAATAGTTCAAATCGACGTGATCGTTTATCACCTAATGATGATCGTTATCGTAATTCATCATCAAGAAATAATACAAGTAATTCTGTTCGTAGTCGTACAAGTGATCGACGTAGTTCACCTGTACCACGTTATGATCGTCGTTCACCTGTTCCATTATCACGTTCATATAATCGTCGTTCAAGAACAAAATCACCATTATCAAAACCACATTCAAATGATGAAGATGATGATGAAGCTTATGAAAGAAGACGACAAGAAAGAAGATTACGTGAAAAAGAATTTCGTTATCGAGAAGTAAGTCAAATCAATTATTAAAATGAGAGTATTATATATTAGAATTCTATAGAGGTAGTTTAGAAGTTCTAATCTTCGATAAAAATTAGTTTACATCCAGTGAGAAGGCGACGCTTCTCCAAACATCGGGTTGACCCTGTAAGAGTTTTAAGTTATCCTTCTGGAAGAGAACATCTAGATAAAACCTTGGATACATGTAAATGAGAACTCACATCCATTTAACTATATACATATATATATATATATATATGAGCTTTAAGTATTCACGTCATTGTGACAAATGACATACTATTAGCTGATGATATCTCTCTTATGTATTACTCACAAGGCTAGTCCTTCAACTGATTAATCGCTTTTGAGTTGAGTCTATGTGAATTTATTGGTGTCAAGATATTGTACTTTTACCGTAGTTATTAAAATGAATGTTCTGGTACCTCTCAAGAAACTTAATCTTCAAATTTTAAATTAAAATTTTGTATAGAGACAGTCCGTAACGAGAATAAGTTTTTGTGAATGTTTCAAATCTTGTCGTTGTTCCTATCTTAACACTTGAAATATTTGTGTTTTTGTTCGTCTTCAATAGTTTATTTCGGGTGTAAATCACATGATTAGGTGAATGAGACAGAATACTAGTGAGTCCCGCAACTTTGACGATTACACTTATTTGTCTGAATAATGATATTGAAGACAGATTATATCAACTAATAGTATTTCATTTGAGACATCGAGTTGAATATTTAAAGTTCATATACAAAATAGCTGAGTGGGTATGACTTCTTGTTTACATGTATCAATGCTTAAAATTTATAAAAATAACCTTTATACAATTTTGAGTATGATATGATTTATTACATCGAGTTTTGATGTACTTCAATGGTTCTTAGGATCGAAGTCTAGAAAAAAACGATCTGTCCAAACTCGAGTTGGAAAAGGTTATGTTATTGAATATGTGTACATAAGTATCTGAAATAGTCAATAACTCGAATCCTATTATCTTGATTATATTTAATATGATATTTATCTTCTAGCGATTGAAAGCATGGGAAATACGTGAACGAAAAAAACAAAATGATTATGAACTTGAAAAACGTCGTGAATTAACTCGATTACATGATGAAGAAAAAGAAGGCAAACGTTTATTAGCATTTCTTGAAGATTATAATGATGAAAATGATGATCCGAAATATTACAAGTACGAATTTTTTTTTCTATCAATATTAAATTAATAAATAATAAAACTATTTTCTATCTAGAGGTACATCATTAGCACGTCGTTTAAAAGATCGTGAACATGAAATTGAAACTGATAATCGTGATAGACGTCATGAAAAAGAAGAAGTTGAAGAATTACGTCAAAAATTATTACTTCAAGATAATATTGATGATATTGAATTAGAAATAAAACGACGTTTAGAAAAAGAAGAAGAATTAATACGTAAACGTTTAGCTGATCTTACACGAACAACAAGTGATGAATCTACTGATGAATCAGATAATGATGATGAATCAACAAATAATCGAAAAGATATTATTATTCCATCAATTGAACCAACTAATACTAGTAAGACAAATCTTAAAGAAAAGAATTGTGAGATCATCGAGTATACAAGATACTCGATAAAAAAAAAAGTTTTTTATGCATTCAATGCATCGATATCTGAAAACATTAACTTCAAAATTTTAGTTTCCAATTGTCTTCCTTTGAAAAATTACTCGATACTGACTTTTTATCACTATCATATGTCATACAAATTTTTATTATTCTCTTCAAAATGGCATGTTCGGATAGAAACGCAGTTCACCTCTGTCCTATATAGTGTGACTTTTCGACAGAAAAATAATTTGCCACGTGGTTACAGTCTATTGGCTTCAAAACTTTCTGGACCGGGCTGATAAAAGTTTCTTTTGGATCTGAACTAAAAACTGATGGTTCACTGGAACGAAACCGAGCGCAACTTTTACAGGAGACTTTTTGTTTATAAAGATATGATAGGGATAAAAGAAAGACTATTGGAAGTTAAAATTTTGAGATTAGTGTTGTCAGATATCGATGTATTGAATGCACAAAAAAAAGAGATTTTGATTTATCAAATACCTCGTATACTCGATGATTTCATGAAAACTCTCCTCAAATAAATGTTGATATAAATATGATTTTATTTGTTAGATACTGAAAATATGGATCAATCACCACCAGCAATACTTTTACCACAAAATGGTTTGTAGAATACTTAATTGACTTTTGTTTTATCTATTACTTTTTTTTTTTGTGTTTTATTTAGAAATCAAAATTAGTCCTCGTCAAACATCTGCACTTGGTGGTGCACCAATAACTGGTACAAAATTACCATCAAAACGAAAATTAGCTGTTAATGAAGTAAGTTTTGATTTTGATAGAATAATTCAATGAAATATTTCTTTAAAATTTGAAGGTTTTTCGTGAAGATCAAGATGATGATAGTACAAATAATTTTCAGAAAAAATCAAAATTATCTGCAATACTTGATCAACAAACTACTCCAACTTCTCATAATTCAACATATATTAAAGATGAACCAAACAATCGAATGTCATCAAGTAAACCAACACCTTTAACTCCAACAACAAATGTTAATCCTATTCCATCACAAGAAGATAAACGTCAAGCTGTACGTAAATTAATTGAAAGTATTCCAACAAAAAAAGAAGATTTATTTACTTTTCCACTTGATTGGTCACTTCTTGATTCCGTATGTATTTTTTTTTTCTTTATAAATCTAATTTTTTTTTCTTTTTATAAATTAAAGAATCTAATGGAAAAACGTATTAAACCATGGGTAACGAAAAAAATTGTTGAATATATTGGTGAAGAAGAAGTAACATTAACAGATTTTATTTGTACATCAATAATGTCAAAAAAAAGTGCTGAAACAATCCTATCTGATATACGTGTTGTACTTGATGATGAAGCTGAAGTATTTGTTGTTAAAATGTGGCGATTACTTGTCTATGAAATTGAAGCTAAACGACATGGTCTAAGCAAATGATTTGCTTTTTCCCCCTTTTTTTTGCTTGTCTGTCCGATGGTTTTCTTTTGATCTCAGTGTATAAATATGTTATTCTTACATATTTCTTGTTTTCTTCTTTCACTAAGACAAAAAGAAAAAAAGATAATAGATGAAATGAAGTGCGTTTCTGTTATGTACAAATATCAAGTCCATTTAAGTTAAACGAGAAGATGTACTTAGAAGTAAACTTATCTCTTTTATAATATGAAAACAAAACACAAAAAAAAACACAACAATAACAACTTATGATATCTGTATGTATTTGTCATTTTTTCTTGCGTGTCTTTTCTCTCTCTCTTTTTGTGTATCTTCTTCTTGTTTTGTCTGTGATTTTTCAAACACATACAACAAAAAAATAAAAACAAGAAAAAAGTTCGATATTGTTAAAACTTCAATTTTGTGTCATCAGTAACAAGCGAACTCAATAATTTAGGAAAATTGTACATACAACAAGTACCAAAATTATTCGACAAGGGTTATTTTCAATTCTTTTCTGTTCTCGTAAACTTTAGAAAGAATCCAACAATTTGATTGAAGGTCAAAAAATGTTTTTTCTATAGAAAATTAAAAAAAACGACTTCAAGAGCTTCCGTAAGATTGATGTATTTCGGCAAAATAACGTTGTACAGAACTCGGAGATATCTCATTTTGTAGAAAATTATTTGTTCTATCGTTCTATATAGTCTAAAGAAAATTGTATTCACTCGTTCTAGATGCTGACTTTGGGAACTTGATAATAGCTTTTATTTTCTTATATTTCTTTTGGCTTGTTGAATAATTTTATTACCTACTATATATACACAATACTGAATACAATTCTTTAGACGATTTTTTAAACTGAGTTATTTTTGTTTAGAGTTGTT